GGTATATTTTCAGCAAGGATGCCCAAGGCTAATGGGAGTGTATGGGGAAGAAGGAGCCCTTCGTTTTCCTTTTATCAATTGTTATTCATTTAGATAATGTTTGTTTTTTAAGCAGAAGAATTAAGAGCTAGTGTTTGGTAGCACAATAAGGTGACTAGTTAAAAACAAATTTTTTGTGTGTTTCAAAATAACTAGAAAAGTGGACTTGAAATGGTCCTAACCCCCCCCAAAAAGATAAATGTTTGAGGTAATGGATCAGTTACCCTGATTTGATTATTACATATGGTATGCTTTAGTGATTCATATGTACCCCATAAATATGTACAACTATTATGTACATACAGATGTACAACTATTATATACATAAAAATAAAAAATTTTAGAAAGAGCCAAAGAATGAAGTTTGCATCTGTCACAACATTTTAATTTTACGTTAGGATGTAACTCACTAAAAATGAAAATAAAAATACTTTTCAGTAGGGAAACACATTAATTTTAAAAAATAGCTTACTATAAAACACAAGCATTGTGATTATCATTGAAAACCATTTGATTGCCACAAATTCAAATTAAGTAGTGAATAAAAACCAAGTAGCATTTTATACCTTAAGTGAATGAAAATAGGACCATTTCAAGTTTAAAGGCAATAAGTCAAACATTGTAGAAGATGACAAGAGTTAAATCTTAGGTCTAGAAAATGGTTCAAGAACCTCTCTTCTTTTCACTATGAGGGCTTCAGAGAGAGACAAAGACATGTAAACAAAAAATATCTACTCACCCTCCTTTTAGAAAAGTTGCATTGATGATAGCTTTACTTGTAAAGATTTGGTGATGACTTTGCCTATTGTAATATGATATTCTGCAAAAATCAGATGGTAATTGAGTTGTCTTCCTAGCTTGAAGCAAGTTATATTCTTGATTTCAGTATTGATAAGGAGACTTAAATAGGAAAATGAATATCCCAGTGGTCTAGTTGAATCTCAGACATTATTTATTATTTTCTTTTATTACTTTGGTGGGTCAACTGAATATGAGTAAAATAATGATAAATTTATTTTTTAAACAAGGACATATTCATTTATTTATCTTAACTTGGCTCTGAACCTTTCTGCTACTTTCACCAAAGTCAGCTAAATCAAGGATGGTTCATTTGAAGAGTTTCCATTTGATGCAATATATATTTGTTTGTGACCCATATCTCATCCTGTGAGAATTCCCCCATTTAGGGGAAAGGCATACTTCCTGTTCCTGGTGTTTCCTCTTATGTACAGGGTGTGCATTAATGCAATACTTGTGGCCTCTCTCCATCCTTTTGCTCACTCCTGGAAAGGCAGCAGTAGAGGGGGCAGGAAGTAGTAACTCAGCTGATTGGTGATCTTGAGGAGAATTGGAGATGCTTAGCCCTATATTTTCCTTTCTCCTTCTTAGAAAAACAATGTTCATAGGGTACATGTTCCTGCCAAAGAGGAAAACGGGTCCCACTCCAGTGCTGCAAATGAATACATTTGTACAATTTTAAGGGGAAGACCAACTATCTAATTTTTAGGACCCAGTGAAAGGTGAAAATGTGACTCTCTTTGTTTAAAGAACAGGAAAAATATGCCATTGAAGGAACACATAAAGCTTTTCCTTTTTTCCACTTTCACTCTCAACTGATCATGGTGCTTTTTGTTTACTATTCATTGTTGTTCTAAGTAAACTAAAAATCTTAAATAATTATTACTGTGATTTTTTCATTCATCTTTGTATTCTGCAATAATAATTTTAAATAAAAATATCAGAGCATTTATCTCCTATGCAAAACCACCAAGATTCTCAATTTGTATTTGTTGGCTTATTCTTGGAGGGGGTGCCTCAAGCTGGCCATACGAGATAAACATTCCAACTAGCAATAGAGAATGGTAGCAAAGTAGAAATAAAGGACATTTTCTCAACCTGATTAAAGGTCATCTATTAAAAAACCAATAACAAAGCTAACATCATTCTCATTGGTGAAAGGCTGAATGTTTTGCCCTTAGGATCAGAAATAAGCAAAGAATGCTTTCTCTCACCACTCCTTTCAACATTGTAATGGGGTTTTTAGCCAAGGGAATTTGGTGATAAAACAAAATAAAAGCCAACCGGACTGGAAAGAAAGAAGTAAAAAAAAAAAAAAATCTCTATTTGCAGATTATATGGTCTTATATGTAGACAATCCTAAGGACTTCACAAAAAAACAACTAGAAGTAATAAATGAGTTCAGCAAGTTTTCAGAATATAAGATCAATACACAAAATAATTATATTTCTGTACAGTAGCAATGAACAACTGAAATGAAATTACGAAAACATATTTGCAGTAGGATTGAAAAGAATAAAATATTAAAGAATCATTTTAACAACAAAGTGCAAGTCTTGTACACTGTACATTGAAAACTACAAAACATGGTTGAAAAAACTTGGAGATATAATAATAGAAAAACAGCAACAGCCGGAACCAAAGAAGAGCTCACATAGCCAAGACAATCCTGAGTAAAACAAAAACAAAAACAAAGCTGGAAGCATCACACTACCTGACTTCAAACTATATTACAAGGCTACTGTAATGAAAACAGCATGATACTGGTACCAAAAGAGAGATACAGACCAATGAAACAGAACAGAGGCCTCAGAAGGAACACCACACAACTACAACCATCTGATCTTTGACAAACCAGACAAAAACAAGCAGTGGGAAAAGGATTCCCTATTTAATAAATGGTGTTGGTAAAACTGGGTAGCCATATGTAGAAAGCTGAAACTGGATCCTTCCTTACACCTTATACAAAAATCAACTCAAGATGAATTAAAGATTTAAACATGAGACTATACCATAAAAAGTCTAGAAGAAAACCTAGGCAATACCATCCAGAACATAGGCATGGGCAAGGACTTCATGACCAGTACACCAAAAGCAGTGGCAACAAAAGCCAAAATAGACAAATGGGATCTAATTAAACTTGAGAGCTTCTGGACAGCAAAAGAAACAATCATTAGAGTAAACTGGCAATCAATAGAATGGAAAAAATTTTTTGCAATCTACCCATCTGACAAAGGGCTAATATCCAGAATCTACAAAGAACTTAAGCAAATTTACAAGAAAAAAACAACCTCATCAAGAAGTGAGCAAAGGATATGAACAGATGTTTCTCGAAGACATTAATGCATCCAACAAACATATGGAATAAATACTCATCATCACTGATTATTAGAGAAATGCAAATCAAAACTGCAATGAGATACCACCTCATGCCAGTTAGAATGGCAATCATTAAAAAATCTGGAGATAACAGATGCTGGAGAGGATGTGGAGAAATAGGAACACTTTTACACTATTGGTGGGAGTGTAAATTAATTCAACCATTGTGGAAGACAGTGTGGCAATTCCTCAAGGATCTAGAAATAGAAATACCATTCGACTCAGCAATCTTATTACTGGAGATATACCCAAAGGATTATAAATCATTCTATTATAAAGATACATGCACACGTACATTTACTGTGGCACTGTTCACAATAGCAAAGACTTGGAACCAACCTAAATGCCCATCAATGACAGACTGGATAAAGAAAATGTGACACATACATACCATGGAATACTACACAGCCATAAAAAGGATGAGTTCATGTCCTTTGCTGGCACATGGATGAAACCGGAAACCATCATTCTCAGCAAACTGACACAAGAACAGAAAACCAAACCCCGTATGTTCTCACTCATGAGTGGGTGTTGAACAATGAGAACACACAGACACAAGGAGGGGAACATCACACAATGGGGCTAGGGGAGGAATAGCAGGGATTAAGGTGATTGGGGAGGGATAGCATTAGGAGAAATGCCCAATGTAGATGATGCGGCAATGGATGCAGCAAATCACCATCATGGCATGTGTATACCTATGTAACAAACCTGCACAATCTGCACATGTACCCCAGAACTTAAAGTATAATAAATAAATTTTAAAATAATAATAAAGATTTTTAACAATGTAACCATGGAACATTTAATCCCAACTGTGGGACTCTTAGCATGAGGCACCATGCCACCAGATTGCATGTCTGCAAAGCCAACCCTGTATAAGATTCAATACTGGGAAGTTCACTTGCCCACGAATTTAAGTTACTACTTTAATATTGGCTTTACATTAATGCAGGTGATAGTTTGCCCCCATTTGACCTGCCATTTTGTCTTATTTCTCAGTTGTTTCAGATTTTTGGCAGAGATGGAGACTCCTCTAAGATTCTAACTTCACCTACCTAATTTTTGCTTTTTGAGGGAAATACAGAGAAAGCAACAATTAGGTCATACATATCTTGAGGTCATGTTATGTGCTTACAAGAGGTAGTATTAACCAGTAGTTAAAAAAATGGGCTTTTGAATCAAAACATATTTGGTCTCAACTTCAAGTTCTGCCAATTTTAGTTGATACTTCCTAGCAAATTATCTCCCTTCCTTTGCCGCATTTATAAAATGGCATGACAGTAGTACTTACTTCTAAGTATTGTGAAGATTAATGAGATAATGTAAGTAAAGCATTTGGCATACACAAGCAATCAACAGTGCTTGTTTTATTATTTAATCAAGTTAGAAACTATTCTAGCCAGATTAAAGGTCTTCTAAGACATACTGTTTACTAAAAACCACGGAAGGGTAATATTAATATGTAAGGGACAGAGTTCCAAAACATTTAATGACACTGAATAATCAATATTTTGAATGTTCCCCTCCAAGTCCCTGGCCAGCTCTCTAAATATTCATGATGAAGTACCATGATGCAGAAAGTGCCTACCTTTAGCTATAAGTGTAACTACATTCATTCATCAAAAACAATTTTAAAGGTGTTCAGATCTCTTGTCTACTTATGTTTAAAATTCTATCTAATGCTATAAAGTAGATTAATATTTTAAAAGTTTAAATTACAATGATTTTTGCTAATAAATTTATTTTCTTTCTTGTGTTTCTTTGTTTACACTGTCATCTAGAAGTCCCAACTATTCCCAAAGAACTGTTTCCTCTGGTTCTTCCCAGGAAGCTAAGAAACATATATTTTAAGGTAAGAATTATTATGTAGTGATATTGTAGTATAGTGGCCTCTGAGGGAAAGATAATCTAATAACAAGCCCAGCACTACTTCCTAGTTTTTCTGTCATATTAGGCAAGTTCTTCAACTTTTCTGAACCTTACTTTCCTCATTTATAAAATGAAAATTGTACCAATACCTCACAGAGTTGTTAAGAAGAGTAAATGTAATTATATATGTATATATGTCATTATGTATAGTATTATAAATATTTATATAGTTTCATATATACACATGTATGCTATTATTACTATTCCACTGCTTGTTTTCACTAATGTCTCAAGGTTTCTATGTGCTTTAAAGATACAAGAACAGAAAAACAAACACCGCATATTTTCACTCATAGGCAGGTGATGAACAATGAGAATACTTGGGCACAGGGAAGAGAACAATACTCATTGGGCTAGGTGGTCGGGCGGAGAGGGGATGGGAGGGACAGTGGGGTGGGGGGCCAGAGGGGAGGATGGGAAGGGATAACACTGGGATAACACAACACTGGGAGAAATCCCTAATGTAGGCGAGGGGTGAAGAGTTGGAGACAGCAAACCATCATAGCATGTATGTACCTATGGAACAATCCTGCAGGATGCAGGATGTACACATGTACCCCGGAGCCCAAAGTACAATTAAAAAAAAAAAAGAAATTGATCTTTACTAACACAAATTTTTGCCTAAAATATGTACATTACTGGAAGAAAAATATTTGAAAAGTTGCTATCAAACTACCCAGGGATTTGTCATTCAACTGAGAACTTATAGTGGAGGAGCCAGGGTATCAAATCTTTGCACTGATTCTCTTGAGTGTTAACAGTGCCTTTTACAGTTAGGGAGACAAGATTTAAATGTGGTCATTTTCCTATTGTTCTTAAAATTATAATTAAAAAAAAATTTTACCAAGCAAAAATGTAGCTACTACCACAAGAAACAATGAAAATAGCTAACATATGTTGTGCAGTTTTAATGTCTGATACCATATTTTGCTCTATACACATTCAAAATGACCCTATAAGTAAATGTTACAACTTCCATCAAGGTGATAAAACAAAGTTTTATTTGGGTTACAGAAATTGATGAAGATTTCATGGCTGATACATGGTAGAATTCAGATTTGAACATAGTTGTGTCTGCTTCCAAAGCATGCTGTATGCCCAAGCAATAATTCTGTAAGTAAATTTTTTTCAGTTGTGATTTCTGGCGTCCAGAATTTTCTGTTGTTAAATCAGAATTCTTCTTAGTATTTGAGGTGCGTAAAATGAGTCAATGATCAGAGGTCAACAAAGCTTATTTTTAAAAAACTTTGGCTGGGCGCAGTGGCTCTCACCTGTAATCACAACACTTGGGGAGGCCGAGGCAGGTGGATCATTTGATATCAGGAGATCAAGACCAGTCTGGCCAATGTGTTGAAACCCCATCTCTACTAGAAACCAGGAGGTAGTGGCACGCACCTGTAATACTAGCTACTCAGGAGGCTGAGGCAGGAAAATCCCTTGAGCCTGGGAAATGGAGGTTGCGGTGAGCCAGTATCATGCCACTGCACTCCAGCCTGGGTGACAGAATGAGATGCTGTCTCAAAACAAAAATGAAAACAAAAATACTTTAAGAACCTTTATATTATGAACATATATTTGAGCACCTGTGTGAAAAAGGGGAAACTTGTTACTTCCTGAGGCAACAGCATAAATATTGCTGGTATTTATCCTGATGAAAATGTATATTTCTATGAATTAGAAGCTTTAAAATGTTTATAAATTAATTATGATTCTGGAATTCCACTTGAGAGTCTCTTTCTTAAGGATATAGTCCACAATACCAAAAATATTATATGCACAAAGGTGTTTATACAGTGTTATTTAAATTGTTAAAGTACATATACTTACTAGGCATGCAAGGTTGGCTTAATAGCTGAAAATTAATCAGTATAATACACCATAGTAATAAAGGACAAACACTTCATGTTCATTTCAGTAGACTCAGAAAAAGTAGTTGACAAAATTCAAGTGACTCAACAAACTAGGAATAGAAGGTAATTTTTTTAACTAGATAAAAGTTATTTATAAAGAACCTATAGCTCTTCTCATACTTAATGATGAGAAACTGAATGCTTTCCTCCTAAAATCAGGAAGAAGAAGAAGGTATCTATTCTCACTATTTTCACTCAACATTCTCTTGGAGGTTCTAGTCAAGACAATTATGCAGGAAAAGACGTGAAAGGCAATCAGATTAGAAAGGAAGAAGTAAAAACTACCATTATTTGCAGGTGACATAATCTTGTATATAGAAAATCATAAGGAATCCACAAAAAATTATTTGAACAAATAAGTTCAGCAATGTGGCAGGATACAAGTTTGATATTAAAAATTCAATTTTATTTCTGTACACTACTAATGAACACTCTGAAAATAAAATTAAGAAAGCAATGTAATTTATAATAGCTGCAAAAGAATAAAATAAGAAAAAAAGTAAAAAAAGTATAAGACATGTACACTGTGCACTGAAAACATAGTTGAAATAAATAAATAAGCAAATGGAAAGGTAGCTCATGTTCATGGATTGGAAGACTTAATAGCAATAAGATGGCAATTCTTCCCAAAGTTGATCTGCAGTTTCAATGCCATCCTACCAAATTTCAGCTGCCTCTTTTTTTTTTTTTTTGTAAAAATGGAAAACCTAGTCATAAAATTCATGTGTTCCTGCGTAAGGAATGCAGAATAGCCACAACAATCTTTTAAAAAGAATTTAAAAATTGGGGTACTCATACTTCATGATTTCAAAATCTGCTACAAATCTACAGTCATTAAAAGAGGATATTATTGGCATAAAGATAGATATAGAGATCAATGAAGTACAGTTGAGAAGTTAACAATAAATATTCACAAATGATCAATTGATTCTTGACAAGGGTGACAAAAAGTTTAGTAGGCAAAAAAAAAAAAAGTTGTTTCCACAAATGGTGCCAGGATAACTTGATGTCCACATGCAAAAGAATGAAATCGGATTTTTAGCACACACAAACATTAACTCAAAATGGATCATACACTTAAATACAGATGTTAAAACTACAAAACATCTCAAAGAATGCAAGTTTGATTCAACAGCTGTTTGATTAAATGCCCAATAAACAACAAGGTTTATTTAATAGCAGTAAATCTTTTGTGGCCTTTGGCTAGGCAATGGTTTCTTAGGTACCAAAAGCAGAAGCAACAAAAGTAAATAATAGATTACTTGAAGTTCATCAAAATTAAAAACATTTTTGCGTCAAAGGATACTACCAAGAAAATGCAAAAACAATTCATGAAATGGGAGAAAATTTGAAAATCATATCTTATTTAAAAATTGTATCCATAATGCATAAAGATTACCTACAGCTCAACAATAAAAATACAAAAACCATAATTATAAAACAGGCAAGTGATTTGAACAGAAATTTCTTCAACGAGAATATGTAATGGCCAATAAGCACATGAGAAGTTCAGTATCCTTAGTCTTTAGAGAAGTGAAAATCAAAACCACAATGAAATACTACTTCAAACCCACTAGGATGACTAAGATTAAAAAGTCATACTGCAACGATTTTTGGTGAGGATGTGAAGAAATTAGAAGTCTCATGTAGTGCTGATGGAAATGTAAAATGGGGCAACTATTTTGGAAAACAGTTTGCAGCTCCTCAAAATGCTAAACAGAAAGGGAAAAAAGCTAAACAGAGATTTACTATTTGACTCAGAAGTTTTATTCTTAGATGTATACACAAGATAAATGAAAATTTATGTACAAAAACTTGTACATGAATGTCAATAGCAGCATGACTGATGATAGACAAAAGGTGAAAACAACCAACATGTCTATCATTTGGTTAGTGGATAAACAAAATGGGATATATGTGTACAATAGAATGTTATATAGCAATAAAAAAAAAAAAACAATGAAGTACTAAGACATGCTACAACATTGATGACCCTTGAAACCATGCATAAAGTAAAAGCATCCAATCATCAAGGACCCAACATTGTTTGGATACATTTGTTGATAAATGCTTGGAACAGGCAAATCCACAGATACAGAAAGTAGATTAGTGTTTGCTTGGGGCTAGGGAGGGAAAGGGGAACAGAAGTGGGAAATTACTGTTGATGTATATGGAATTTCTTTTGGAGGTGTTGGAATGTTGCCAATTAGACTGTGGTGATGATTAACACAACTTTGTGAATATACTCAAAATGATGGGGTTGAAAAAAATGTTCTGAGGGAGCATTATTCTGAGCAAGTTCATAGTGTTGGGGTTGCAAAAAATAAATATGATACAGTCTCTGCATCAGATGGAAATTATATATATATTTCATACATTTTTTTTTAAAAAAAGCTCATGCACCAATTTAAATAAATGAACAAATAAGTCAGAAGACAGGAAACATATATATGAGAAATCTTCACTGCCACCATTAATCAAAGTGATATAACTTTAAGCAGTAATAAAATACGTTTCTCTTTTAAACAATCAACTAGTACATTTAAATTCTGACACCTTGTTCTGACAATAGTGTAGTGAAACTGCCAGCCTCAGGTGCAGCTGATGGCAGTTAAATAAGCATTTTGTAAAAAAGCAATTTGGAAATATACATCAAGGGCTATAAGTTTTTACACCAATTGAACTAATAATTCCACTTGTTGTACTCTATGTTTAAAAAGTAATTTGAAGAATGGAGGAAGCTATTTGAGAAGGTAGACCAAAGGAACACTTATATATATATATATTACCACATTTAATTCTCTCAGTAAACTCATTAGTTATATATTCTTTGCTTCATTTACAAAGAAACTAAAGCTCTTCAAAGTTAGAGCCTCTGTCCAAGGTCACACAGCTGGTAAGAGACACAGCTGGGCTTTGATCTCAGATGAGCCAGTACCAAAGCCAATGGGCTGTCAACTGCCATGGCAGCTTTCTTTGGGGAAAACCCTACTCATAGAAGCGGAGGATCTCACTAAGCCTACCCTACTCTGAGAACAGTTTATCCATCTGTCAGATGGAGGGAAGGGATGCACTAAATGGTATGTAGCATTTCTCTTAGTCCTGGGCTTTTTTTTTTTTTTACTGTTGTGAATAAACCTCAGGAAAAAAATACAAAAATAAGAATTGTGCAGGAAATATTAGACTTTCTTTATTTCTTCCTTTATCTTTAGGACTTTCAACCAGGCTTACTCTTTGTTTTGGATTTTTATCTTCAGTGTACTGATGTTTTCTTAATCAAGATTAGCTAGTTACCATGCTCGTGCTTATGCACTGAATAAATATATGGTAGTGATTAAATGTATAGGATATGTACATAGAGAGATCGCAAAGTTTCTTGTACTATTTTTGAAATTTCTATTCTTGTTTAAAGTAAGTCACATTTAAAGATCAATATACAGAAAGGCAATTTGACAGATTATAAATGTTTCAAAAATTATATTTACAAGACTAGCATAAAAACAGGAAAATGATTGTTATATTATTTTTAAAAAGTAGTATACAAATTTTAATATGCAACATTACTATAATTATATATGAAAATGCAAAAACCAATTATAAATTTTTAAAGTGAAAGGAAATAAAATGTGAACATGTCCAGATGTTATGGCTAATAGATAACTTATTTTATTCTATTTTTCTTTGATTTTCAAGTTTTACGCAATAAGCATGCATTTTCTTTTTTCCCTTTTGGATTCATGTTTTCTTTTACTGAAGTTTTACCCTTTGATGGTGTGAAGTTTTACTACAATATGTTTAGAATGTGAATTTACGTCTAGTTCTTTTGCATAGCTTTGGTATTTATTTTAAATATGGGGACTCTTCTTTAAGGCTAAAAAGTTTTCTATGAATTTCAATTCATTTAAATATTGTTTTTCCATGTTTCCTTTATTCTGTACCTTTAGAAGTTTTAATACTGAAGCATATAACTTTATCCTTTGTTTATTCCTGTGTCACTTTGAGAAAATTTCCTGAGTAGTATCATCCATTTCACTAATTTTTTCTTGTACCCTTATATGGGATATTTACTCATCTTTTTGATATTTTTGGTCTAATATTTTCAATTCAAATAATTCAATTTTCTTCATTTTTTCTACCCACCTGTCTTTGAGTCATGTCTCTTGGTCTTTATTTCATGATTAGTTTTTCTACTTTATAAGGTTA